GCCTTGATGTCGAGGGACGACCGCTGTTAAGAAAATCCTTTTTTCTATATTTTTTGCGATGTTGCTTTGACCAGGGTTTGAACCCAGGTGCTGATGAGTGAAAGCGCGCACTGCTTACCACTACACCACAGCGGCCGAGTGAGAATTAGAAACCTGTAAAAAAAGCAATTTAATTTTTGAAATCACCGTGAAGTAAAGTTTCATGAAATTGCGACCACTTCTTGCATATTTCTACATTTGTACATTTGTGCGTCCGTGCTGGATGCCGTAAGTGAAATATTTTCCACTTTTATTGTTTTTAATTAATTTAAGATATTTCCTGTCAAATTGAGAGATATAACAGTTTTCTGAACCGCATGGTACCATTTTTATCCAGTGTGAAATTTTGACGACTTACAAAATAAAACTAATTTTTTTTATGAAAATATTAAAAATCAATAGTTGCTTCCTTTTTAGACGTCTTTATTTAGCTTGCCCTGTTTGTTGACTAAAATTTAATAATTAAAATTTTACCCTCCCCCTGTCGACCGATTGATCTGAAACTTGGTATACGTATTTAGTTGTGATGACATGTCAATCCTATACATATGTATATCCGGTATGATTGTATCATTGCAAAGATGGCTGCCGCTTAAAAATGTCGGATTAAATATTTTTTACACCCGCTCAATATGGGTATAAAATGAAAAGGCTTGACTATGAGAACACAATACACTATAAATAAAATCCAAATCCAACGAAACCGCTGGTAGAAAATGGAAGATTTCAATCCTCTTAATATGGGAAATGGGTAATAAATGGAAGGACTTTACAAGTAGAACATGATAAAGTTAAGACAGTCTATAAGAGCAAATCTCACAAGTTGTTACATTTTTTGACGAAAACGTGTTTGTGGTTATGGGGAGAGTAATGCGGTTGAAATGTACTACGAATAAATAGAACACTAAATTTAAATAATGGTGTTTGAAGAATTAATTATGTGGGCACTGTAACAATATTATGATAAGATTGCGGTCCTGAAAATTTTAAAAATTTTTCATAGCTTTTTTTTCTTAATATGTGCTAACTGAGTGTGGACAAAAGTATTATAAAGTGTTTAAATCTATTTATAATTTTAACTTACCTGCACTTTGCACTTACCTCCTTTGCAAAATATCGAAATTAATTCAGTAGCATCCACATTTTCTTTTAGGCAAAAAATATGTATATTTATAATTTTTTCAGAAACAACTTGCAACGCAATTAAAAATAATTTCATGAAATTTAAAACTAAAATAATAAGTATAAATTATTTACAGTGTTATATTTTCAAAATAAAAATACTAAAAAGCTTTGAAATGAACAGGTAGGAAAGAAGGAAAGAAATTCTTTTTGATTTAAAAGGAAAGTTAGGGGAAAGTATAACCATTTAAATAAATAATTGCACAAGAGTAATTAATTAAAAATAAATAATAAATATTTTACATTAAATTACCTTACAATAAATTGTTTTTCTAATTTAAGATTCCTAAATAAGTGCTTGCTGGTTAATTATAAAGTTAAATTTGCAGTTATTGCTTATTAAATATTTCCTTTTGAAGCACGAAATTAAATTTGTTTAAATTAAATTATAATTTTTTAAATTGCGCATGCCTAACACAATTGAGTGTATATAACTTAAAGGAAAAGCATCCATAGATTCAGCAATTTTATTTTTCCATTTTTACTATAATAAGCAAGGAAGTTTTTTCTTTATAAAATAAATAATGGTACACATATACTTGCAAAGTTTAAAAATTTCAACACAAATTCCAAAACTATATTTTTTTAATGAATTTCAATATTTTACTGGCATATGGTTTTTATTTTATCAATAAAGCTAAATTCTGAAACACCACCAGGGCGGTTAGCTATAAAGTTTTGCTATATTGTTGCCAATCCTTTTTATTGCATCGATTTTTAGTTATTATTAGTACGATTTGCTAAAATTTCCTGCTAATAATAATTGCAAGCACATTTCGCTTCTACATTTTGCCACATTATTGCATATTCATTTGTACATTATTGCTTAGGGCTTATTTCTAACAAAAAACATTGTTTTATATAATTTTTTACGCATACTTACGTAATTATTTATTTTGTAAAAATTTTAAAAACTTTTGTATTGCTTAATTACTTGTATGAAATATTTTCCACTTTGAGGTACAATTTCTCTGCTCTCTTCAACACCTGCTATTGGCGACCTATGCACTTGCATATTTTACAAATTATTTGCGCATAGCTTTATTTAAAATTAAATTAAGTTTTTTAAACACTGTTCTAAGAACCTACATTTACATATAAATATTTATATGTATATATAATTTTACAGACTTATTAACTAGTTTTTGAAATTAACACAAAAAACAATGAACTCATTAAAAAAAAATTCAAGGTATTGGCGCTACGCATGCGCCCCAGCTCATCATCGATGGTAAAGCGCACACTTGCATCAAAACGGAACAACAGTTGCAAAAAGACAATTGGACGCTCCGTTGTTCTTACATTGCTTGTGCTCTCTTTGAGCTTGTACTCAAAATTGTAACTCATGCTGTTTACACTAACTCTCTTACTGGCTTATTGTTTTACGATTGAAAGCTCTAAGCACACCTGTTAAGATAATGCTGTCAATCGTTGGACGCATTCGGATTTGTGGATTTCCCATTTTCATACCGGTAAATAAACGAGATTATTATAGCCTAAGGAAAGAAAAATGCCTACTTTCTCTCTTTTCAATGCTTTTTATCAGTTTCAGATTTAAAAAGAGCATCTTGTCACATTGAGTGAAAACTAAAAAGTTCGTTCCGTAGCTGTCGGAATACAATTAATTATTGGTTGGAAGCTTTAAAAGCTGTAAGCTCTATAAATCTCGTTTTTAGTTTATAACTCAAAGAGAAGCTTTTATCCTAAAAAGTTCAGGCCTACTGCAGTCCAGTTACAATTGAATCGCTCTCAGACTGTCTATTTCAAGTTCATTGTTGGAAGCGCGAATGAGAAAAAAGTTCAGCGTGTTTAGAGTCCATTTAGCTACTTCATAGGCATGTGACCTAAGCTGTTATAATTTTTCTGTATATTTTATATACGGCATTTAATAAAAACTCCCTCTTTCCAACGCTATTTCAGAACTTTTTCAGCTTTTTCTACGTTTGGACCAATCCTGCAAAAAACCTTTTAAAGCCTTATTTATTAGTTTGTTCCAGTACACTAGGACATAGTAAGAAATAGTATGAAATTACAGGAAGTCGTTCCCGTACGCAAGAATTTCTCTCACTGGGAACACTTTTGGGCGAGTAAGAGAGCAACTCTTCCCAGTCAGAAGTTACAGGATTTTGCCCGAAGTTTTTCTTCCTGCAAGTTCATGAAAAGTGTTAACCGATAGGCAGGGTTACATTTATAAACAAACACAGAACGTGGTGCGATCAAAGATGGAAGTAAACAACGGAATATTGGAATATGTACGCAATTATTCTTAATTGTATAGTTTTTAATAATTATTTACTGATTTTCAGCCAAATCAGTGTTCTACCAATGAAATGTAAATAAACCGACTGACATTTGTGCAGGAAATAGTGCTTTTTACGTTCCGGTACACTTCTGTAACTGTTCTCCTTTTACTCTCACTTGAGAGAGTAACATTGTAGTTTGACAGTTCCACAGGTTTTTGCACGAGGAATACTGGAACAAACTATATATTTTATATGCGCCAATATAAGATGAAAGTTAAGATCGTCGCCTGAGAACAGTGAAAACAAAATTATAGTTTAAAAAACTAAAACTTCGCTATTATAATTTCCATTCGTACTGTCATCAGGTATGTACCTTGAGAATAGAAATCGCTGCATCTTTTAGGCGCATCAATATTACATAGTTACATCCCGAGCTAATAAAAGGGAGGTAATAATAATAAAAAGATAGCTTTTACTCTGTGCGTGCCCATAAAAAGGCTTTAAAACTCTTCTCCCAGAGGATATGTGTTATTTGTGACAGATCCATCGCATCTTTAAAAGCTATTTTTATTGATCACGTTATCCCGCCACAGTGTAAGAAGTACTTGAGTTTACAACGCCTTTTAATTAAAAAAGTGTAGTTTTTAGAGCTTATTAACGAAAAGCCTGCGACTGCCAACTGCAATATTTCTTTGTAAGATTTGGGAAATTTTTGGAAAAGCTCTCGAGAAAGGTTTAGCTAAAATGTTTTGGAATAGATTTTTTTCAACCTCAAGCATTTTGATAGTAGCGAGTAAGATAGCGTTAAAGCTTGTTTCCACCTTTCCGCGCATACTGTTGAAGTGGCCGACTCTGACATGGATTCAGTTAAAATATTGTCAAAAGACCTTTTAGCGTCTGCCCAAAAGCTTGACAACAATTTTCTATAGATCTTATTGAACTTTTTCTTGCAAAAACCTTTGAAATTCCAAAGAACTTATTACTAAAGCTAATGCTCTGGATAACATAAAGTTGGTCTGGATGAGTAAAAGGCCGGAGTGCGATTTTTGCCTAACTTTTAATTCAAAACCGTATTATACCAGAGTGCTTTTTAACTGTGCATAAATATTAGAGCTCTACATGCGGAAAAGGCGGCCCTGTACCTGCTTTTTAGTGAAACCTATATAAACTTTGAACGAGTTTGGAAAAATTGAATCTTTTTCTTACGTTAAAACCACCTATTTATTTCCTCTGCTGTCAGCGAAGGCCCACTTTAAAATTTTACCTAGGTCAGGGAGAGCTTTTACTTTACCAAAAGCTATAAAATAAGTTCTCCTGGAGAATATGTTTTGGCCATGCTTGATTTTGGGAAACCATTGAATTGAGTAAAATGAATACCCACACTCAAGGCCGAGCTTTTTTAAAGCTTAAAACGCTTCAGATTTGGCACTCTCGTAGAGTATTCAATTTTTCACATTTCCACTTCAATCTGTTGGACACATATAAACAACGCAACTATACCTTCTACAAAATAAACTGGCAGGAAAAGGAGGATGTAGGAAGTCTACGAGATGTACTGGCTTTCATAGCAGATTTTTGGATTTTTGGGTGTTGCATACACCAAGTCTTTAACATAAATTGGAAACAAATTTCAAAGCTAAAACCAAGTGATGTTTACTTAGAACTTTTGCTATCCATAAATATACTTGCCTGCTAATGCTACAATTTCAATAGTTTTTATCTGGTTCAAATGTTCTAAATATATTTCTCTAGACTTATTTTTAGAGGGACCTACCCCTATTCAATATGTATATGTACATAAATTCCAGCCCACTACTCATCAACTAAGTAACTAGATTCAACTAACAAAGAGTAAAACTAAAGAGATCAAAAGCAACCAACAACAACGAATAACAAATATTGAGTGCGTGTCGCGTATTCCAAAAACAACACCACTTATGAATATGAAATTGTATCAAAGTATTTTCATTACCAACTAAACTACAAAAGATTATACTCTTATCCAATGGACTGCAAGTGTTTGTCAAGTGTAGTCAAATTAATATGCAGAAAACACTTACCTCATTTTGTCGAATATGGCTCTTATTAAGGAATTCGTAACACGCACATGCTCATTAAAGGACATTGAAGTACGAAACACTCACTGGAGTTGATTGACTGAGAGTTGACTTGTAGCCCGCTCAGCAGCTGCACTCTTACACTCCAGTTGTGCTATCGTTTCAAGACCTTTAATGAACACTACGCTGCCTCTGAGAGTGTTGATGTGTGTCGGCTGTGGGCATAGCTCCAGCCCGGCAACCATTTCAGATAGCCACGCTACAGCTACCCCTTCAACGCCATCATTTACACACTTACACACATTCAGTTCACTCTTAGACGCAACGATTTTGTAGATTTGGGCTTGAACGCTCGCATGTTGGCTTGCATCACGGCAACAGTTTGTTGTTGTTGTTCGTGATCCTCGCGCGCATCGTGTCAGTCACGCCCAATTCTCTTATGTATCTGTTGATGTTTGAGCAAGTGCGCCTTCTGTCGAAACGCTTTGGCGCAGACGTCGCAACGGAATGGCTTCTCGCCCGTATGCGTTCGCAGGTGTACCTTGATGTTGCTCTTGTTGAGGAAGCCTCGATTGCAGATACTACACCGATGTACGGGTTTCTCTTTGCCCAACAAACCGGAAAGGTCATTGGCGCTAAAGCTGACGGAGGATGGTGAAATTGCGTTAAGTTGTTGCGGTCCGAGAACGCCACTACTGCTGTTGGACTGTGCGTTCGCTTGCGCCTGTTGCTGTTGACTGGATTTCTTTTGAGAGCGTGACCGTTTCGTTTTCGGTGTGCCGGTGGGTGTAATTGTCGTCGTATGTGGATAATTTCCAAGCATGTCGGGACTACAGAGACCGTCGGACTTCATCGACGACATAGTGACTTGGTATTGATGTTGATTGGTTAGATAGCGCGGATTGATCATCAGATTGTCCGTGGTTGACACCACGGATCCCGGTGGACTGGAAGTAGACGACGCTGTGGGCAGCTCGTTACAGTATGAGGTAGAACTGGGCGCTTCACTTTTTAACGCCGTCGTATTGGCTGAATGCTGTTGCTGTTGTGGTGGGCCATTCTGCAGTCGGTTGTGCAGTAAAGGCATGTAACCGTGCGTCAGCAAGCTTTGTAGCGTCGAACTGCTCGGGTGCACGGGTGAGTGTGGCAAGATGAATTCGCTGAGCGTATCCTGTTGTGACACCAGTAGCTTCCCATCCTGTTGTATACAATTTCCATCGATCCACGCATCCAGATCCATCCAGGAATCACGCGTATCATTGCCATCATCCTTATCCAGTTGGTTGGGCACTGTGGTATCGGCTATCGCTGAGCCAATTATGGCTGCAATATCGTCAATTGAGTTCATATCTACATACTCGGACAGGTCTTTGGCATCAGTGTAAATGCGTACGCCGCTGTGCATCGAATCTGGCCCATGATCACCACCGCCAACCATGCCATTGGCGTTGTGGCCGTTCCTGCTTCCGCTGCCGCCGCCACCGAGGCTACCCGAATTAGCTGCCGACATTACACAACTGTCGGCCATCGAGTACAGCTTATTATCTAATTGACTATCCGCAAAGAGTTTTACATCACCCAGACAGGCGTCCGCATCCGGACTTAACACGCTCTCAGGCAGGCAAGTAGACGAGGAAACAATGTTATGGTCGGCTGAAGAGCCATGACTGTTGGCACCACCGCCGCCGCCAGCACCACTGCCCTGCATCGATGGTAGCGGTGATGTACCCGAGGTCGCCGCCGCCAACTGTATACTTGTGGAGGCGTTTCCTGTCGTCGTCGACGTCGTCGAATGATTCGTCTGGTAGGCACTTTGTATGTAATTGTTGTTACTCTCATCAGGTAGCCTCTGTGCGATCGCATGGTAATGGTGTCCGGAGATGCCATTGATGGACAAATGCCCCGTATAGCCGGTGAACGGTGGTAGTGGTTTTAGATCGGAAAGCGCATTTAGTGAGGACGTATTCAATAGCAGATTGTCGAGCACATCTAGCGAGTTTTTTTGTTCGGAATCGCTGGGCAGCGAGTCAAGGTCATGTTCGAGCAGCAGTTTATGGCCATCAAGCAGGTATTGATCCTGGCTACCGTTTTGTGTGGGACCCCAGCATGGACTCATAAGTAGACTTTCAACTTCAGATTCGCTTGGTCCGTTCATGCTGTAAAACTTCATCGTATTCTGTGGCGCATATGAGTGATTTTTGTTGTTTCTTGTGCTCACAAGAGAAAAATATGCTTGATCCTTTTTTCAGCAACTGGTGTGCACAGGAAATTTGTAGAGTTTTCGTTGGGTATAGGTGTCGCTTCCGGGCTTAAATGTCGCATGAATTAGCTTGTTTGAAGTTGTGATGAAAACTGCAAGTATAGAGAAAAAACAGAAATCAAAAGACTTAAGCAGCGAACTCTTTATAGAGTATTTGACTCAAAATCATGCAAAAAGGTGTTTAGTTTTTGTTGAAATGTACTTTAACGGACAAAGGATGCTTCTTAAAATTAAAAACAAAAATAATAATTCAAGTGTCTTACTGCTTAAAGTTAAATTCATCTAGCCTACGTACTAATTTTGGAAATTTCAACATTTGTGTATACACTAAACGCGAGCACAAAACATTTCGCTTGCAGAGTCTTCATAGTGTACAGTTCTCCTTTCACTGTGCTTCATTTTATGCGAACACTGAAATTACTGTTCTCTTTCATCACAAGCACACTACAACATTGCTTTAACGGCGGAGCAGCGTGATTGTGTATTGCCGTGACGAAACAAATTTTACTATTTCATTTTAATTAATTGAAATTCAATAGTGTCCACAGTGTAATAAATCAATGCAAATTTTGAAGCTCAAGCAAATGACTTTTACAATAAAGTTAAATAAATATTATTGGCAATGGATAGACGAAGATTTTACGTCCGACATTTTTACTGTAGAATAATTAGTTAGAAAAGTTATCTTATGAAATATTATATTTGAGATATCTTTCGAATACTTACATAAAAGATTCTCATTTTTAGCTCAAGTCATTTGGTTATGATGACAGAATGAAAATGTGGAAAAAAATTGGTTGGTTCAAACCTTATCCAAGCTCACCGTGATATTTTGGAAAAATCCTCCCTTTCAAGCCGACTTGCCAAGGACTTCAGCCAGGAGAAAAGGCGGCAAGTCCTTACTTTCGGAATCAGTACGTTGAAATCTTTTGAAATTTGGAAAGTTTTATTCCAGGACACGATGCAACTATTTTCGAGCTCTCGGACTAATGCAATTGCCATTCCATTTCCAAGTTGGGTAAGGAAGCCAAGAAAATGAACAAGACGAAGTATATCCTGTCATCAAGCAAACAGTCAATGCATTCGCGCCTTGGCATTCACGTCACTGTTGAGAGTTATGATTTCGATAAAATAGAGAATTTCGTTTACTTGGAAACCAGCAATAACACCAATAATAATGACAGCACCGAAATTCAACACAGAAACACTATCGCAAAGAAGTGCTATTCTGACCGGAGTAGGTAATTGAGAAGTAAACTCTTCTCTCTGTTGTACAAAAATCACACTCTGTAAGTCACTCATCATGCCTGTGCTAGTGTATGGCGCAGATGCATGGACAATGAAAACGTTTGATGGGGCGGCTTTTAGAGTCTTCGAGAGAAAGATTTTGTAAAAGATTTACGGGCCTTTACGCGTTGGGATGACAAGTACCCCAGACGATGGAACGATGAGCTGTATGAGCTTTACAAAGAAAGGGACATAAGCATTGCAGGGAATTAAAATGCAGCGGCTCCGTTGGCTTGGCTATGACACCGACACTGCTGCTCTGTAGGTATACAACTCGGAACCAGCTGGTGGTAGCAGAGGAAGACCAGGAGAGACCAGGTGGAGAAGGATTTGGCTAGGACTTGGAATTTCCAATTGGCATTAGGTGGCACCGAAGAATAACGACTGGCGTCCTTTGTTGAACTCGACCAAAATCGCTTAGGTAGTTACAGCGCCAAATAAGAAGAAGAAGAGAAGTGGGTCTGCAGTTATGCTTCACAGTGTACGATAATACTAAAAATTAAATGGCTCGAAACCCGAAATATGTTTTTGCCACACTTCAGGATCTTCTTGGGGGGTTTCCAGCAGGATTGGGAATTATTTCGGGATTTTTCGAGATTTACATTTTCGTGTCCTGTGGTTTTTTTTTCGGGAACTTTGTTGGCGCTTAATATGGTAAAGTACGTTTCGTTTAGGCTGATAAATAATTGTGTTGTATATAGTTTTTACTTGTTAAGTCACTCATGTATTCAAATATATAAGGAATTGATTATAAAATAATTGTATGTGTTTGACAACCCTAAGTAACAGTCCTGATATTGATAAGAATAACAATATTTTTGAGCTTTGACTTTTGCTAAATGGTTGGCTTAAATTCTCCTCAAAATTAGTTGTGTGCGTCTTTACGTTGTTACGCAAATGGATGGACGAAAAGTAAATGGATTTGTGAGGTACTTTTTCATGGCCGAAATACACTCAGAGGTTGGCCATTGTATGCTTAGGGATGACCGCTGTTAGAAAAAATATTTTCTAATTTTTGGATGTTGCTCGGACCAGAGATCGAAGCCAGGTCCGACGGAGTTGTAGTACGCACCTTTAAGCACTTAGCCACAGCGCCATCATGACACTGATACATGTCATACAGAATGGTAGATATATCTGTATTTTTCACCTAACTACAAATAAATAAAAATCAGGCGGTGGTGTTGTATAATGTATGTATTTATGTATGTACGTTAATAATATATTGCACATATGTGTATTTGTTTATACATGCATTTGTATTAATCTACATAATTGTACATATTTGTGAACAAATGACAGCGACAGCATCTGCAGCTGCAGTAATAACGACAGCGGCCACGACAGCGGTGTCCAATAATTTCTAGTCGGAATTTGGGTCAAAATATTCATAATCTCAAGAATTAGCATATAAATGGAAGGAAAAACTTTCTCGTAGTGCTTACGTACATCATATATGTATATATATATATATATATGTACATAAGTATGTATGTATGTGTAAATGTAGCGATCGATGCATAGAGAGATACAAATGTGCCTGATTGGAACTACCCTGCAGTAAAATTTAGAGACAGTCTGGCAAAGCGCTAGTTCCGAACTACATACTTCAGAACTATCTCTGAACTAGTGAAAAACGGTTGCAGAGCGGGAAACTTACGGTGTGCCAGTTGCACTCTGTTGAGAAGTAAATGCAAATTCTCTCTTCTCGTACAATACGAAAATAGCTCAGCAGGAAGACCTCCGACTCTAGCATCGTTGGTCGCGAGTTCAAAGATTTAATAAATTTAAATTGTTGAATGCCGCTTAAAAATTAAAGAGAAAATAAAATGATCAAATTTAATATAAGTAAAAAAAACTAATAAGATGCAATCTGTAAAAGAACATAAAAAAAGGAAAAATATCAGAAAATCGAATAATCAAATTTTTTTTTTCATAAAAAATTTATTGTCGCAGTTCTGTCCAAAATGGTACCAGTGCAGAACTGGTTCGAAAGTTCTGCAGAGGGGCGCAATTTCCACCTCATAGGGCATCGTCATGTAAAAAGAGACAGTTGAAAGCATTGCATTGGGATAGATCGAGAACCAGTACCGCCTCCTGAGAGCTAGTTCTGCGCTAGTTCTGAACTAGCGCGATTTACTACAGGGTAAATACTGAACAAAAACACACACGCGCAGAAACTCACGCACGTACATACATACATAGGAGTTGTTTTAAATAATTAAAATAACAAAAACAAAATCAGCTAAGTTTGAGACTAGAAGAATATTTCACATACATATGTACACACAGATGTAAGTACATATAAAGGTACATAAGTATATCTACATTGCTAAGCCACAACTTGTGGCATAATTTTTCCAGTCGTAAGGTAAGTAATATAACAGAAGTATTAATGACAGCGAAAAAAAGACGGCAAAGGCAACTCGAACTCAAAATAACGGTAGCTATAGTAACTTTGTAGCGCTCAGCGGTAAACGCAAAAACGGAGATGCGCCTTTCATAGATCCAACTAAGGTGTACCCCACTTAATGGCAGCGGCTTCTGCGCAAGACGAGAGAGGCTTAGAAGGCTTCACTTCTTATCTGCTTTGACTAGAGTTTTAGGTGCGTAATATATATTTTATATGTGTGCGTATATGTAAATTTAAAAACATGCTTGTACCCAGTGTGAAAATGGGTAATGTACTGTCTCTTTCTTTGCCCCACTTCATATGCAGCTGACGAGTATATTCAAACTCTTAATGCCAGTTTTTCAGTGCTGGTTTAAACTCAGGTTAAACTAGGTTTGAACTACTGACAAGTTTTTTAGTGCGAGTTAAAGGCCGCTTCATAGTTTGGTTGTTTTTTAGGGCAACACGGTTTGTTCTTTGTGCAGATACAAAACTTCAGCCATTTATTTTCACTTTCGATACGCTCTCGTTTAAAGTTCTGAAGGCTTATAGACGGAAATTTAAAAAAAATTGTTAGGCGCTTTGTGTGTTGCCCGACCAAATGGCCCTATGCAAGTAAACTCCAACGTAAGTTGCGTTTGTTAGTTTTCTTGCGCACAGTTTTCATCTTATGTATGAACATTTCGCTTATTAATGTATGTACTGCTATAGAAACGAGTCTGTTTTCATGTATCTCGCAAACAATTTTAATTCCCCCCCTTTTCATCTAAATTTTGGCAGCTGACTACAAATATACAACTTAAAAGCTGATAGCTTAAACTCGGTTTAACCAAGCCAGATTGGGCGTTTAAACTTAGTATAAAGTAGGTTTAAATTTGTTTTAGTTTAAACGACAAACAAAGTTTAACTCGCACTAAGAAACAGGCCCTTAATGTGTCCAGAATAGGTCACAACAAAGGATCTCCTGTCGTCAGACAAAAAGCCCGAGCACATGCGTATCGGCATCCGTGTCGCTGTGGAGTCATAATTTCGAAAAAGTAGGCTGATGATTTCGTTACGAGCAGTGAAACCAATAATAATGCCAGCCTTGAAATCTAACGTGTTTAACTCTGCCAAAATCGCTTAGTCTGTTACAGCGCCAAATAAGAAGAAGGAAAGTATTTATGCAAAAAGATTAAATTTGTCAAACAAGTAATTTATATATAAAAGTTCATCTGGGCTATTGGGAAGGATGTTGCAAGTTGACGATTTGGTCGTCATTCTTAATGTCTCCAGATTCTACATCTGAGCCTTCGCTTTCGCTGGAGGAATCTAAAATTATTTCTGGGTTGTCTATAAGACTTTTAGCAATACTTGTTGAAGGCCCATCAATGTTGCTTGTTAAGTTGTATAACCGTTTAGCGCCTGAAGCTAAAGCCGGTTGTTACCGCCACTGTCTGAAATATACATATGTGACACATAAAGTTAAAAGGGACCTACGCTCAGAAAAAAAAGATTTCGAAAAAAACGACTTTGAAGCGAATCCGATCAATTTTTAAAAAAGTCATCCGCCATATTGAAAATAGAATTTTCACTATCACTATCTGGTGAGCGGTAAGGGAATGAATGTTTCACTATAGTTTACAAATTTAGGAAAAGTTTGCAATCTGTGCAAATTTCTTAGTTAGCCGATTCTATAGTTCTTTATACCAGATCAAAGGACTTAAGGCATCCATTCGTTATTGAATACAATATTTCTAGTGAAAGTGTCAGAAATTAACCCCAATTTTTATTTCCAAGATGTCTAATGTCCTTATAACAGCTCTGTTCAAAAATGTATATCCACCTACCATATAGTGGTAGTGATATTTGCAATACATTACCACTAAAGTGCATAGTGGTAGTGAAAACAATTTGGCACTACCACTAACAAAATAGTGATAGTGAAATAATTTTTTCACTAACACTATGCACTTAGTGGTAATGTATTTCAAATTTCACTACCACTGTATGGTTATGGTCCATAATAGGAATTTTAACATACATACATGTGTTGAAACTATGCAAAATAAAACTTGAATTCGTTCAAAATTTTAAGAAAATCAGGGCGCTTTCGTTTTTTTCTTAACAGCGGTCGCCCCTCGGAAGGCAACGGCAAACCTCGGAGTGTATTTCTGCCATGAAAAACAGCTGCTTACAGCTTGGCTGTAAGAGTGATGCATGAATTTATACGTTACCATACGTCATGTTTTTCCACTGGGTAATATATACATTTACAGTGCCGGTCAAAAGTGGATGAATGGTATTTCGTTTTTAAAATTTACAATGTTTTTCAAGCTAAAATTTTTTTGATATTTTTTTTTTAATTTCGTTCATGCTGTGACAAAAACCATATAAATCTCCTTTCAAAGTTTATACTGAATTTGGAAAAATTCCACAAATTTGTATCTAAATTTCGGACTTTTTAAACAGAATTTTTATAATTTTTTTGTGTATGCAGTTAAAAGGATTATACAATTTTTGTAAAATAAGTGCAAGTTTTGAGCGGCTAAAGAACTGCATTCATTTTTAATAATTTTTTTTTTGTTGACGGCGTTTTGGCATTCTTTCCATATAATCATAAATTTCTTGTGGAAGAGTATGCGCAAGAGCGTTTGCGAAAAAAATAAAAAGTCAACGCCAGTTTTCCTAAATTTCAATATTTATATAAAAAACAACCGCAAAAGCCGTCAGCAAATAAAACCTTTTACAAGTCAAGGGGATTTTTTAGCCGCTCAAAACTTGCACATATTTTACTAAAATTTTATACTCCTGTTAACTGCATACCCAAAAAATTTATAAGAACTCTGGTTAAAAAGCTCGAAATTTAGATAAAAATTTGTGGAATTTTTCCAAGTTCTACATAAAGTTTGAAAGTGTGTGTTATATGGTTTTTGTCGAGGCATTAATCATATTTTTATAAAAAAATATCAAAAAAATTTTAGGTTGAAAAACAAAATACCATTCATCCACTTTTAATCACCACTCTATGTATGTCTGTTTGTTAAACAAGTACTAGCAATGAAATGAAAGAAAGTCTTATAAGTCGCTATAGCCGCATCTCCTCCGCCTCAGCTCCCCTAAATCCCGTTACTAATCCGACAATATTCGACACATAAGCAATCAACAGTACATTGTAGTGAAAAGTTTGGCAGGTCGATAGGTTGGCAGGTGATTGGGTAAGTTGTTGCTACAATCGGCAAAT